ACCTATTGCAATAAAACGGCAATTTCATACTTTAACCCCTAATACGTACTTAAGCAGTAATGTGTACTACAATGACAAAATTGACAAATTTAATATTCCGATCATTAGGGTAACGGTCTCTAAATGCAAGACTCTTTATGGAGTTATTTAGTATACATTAATTATTCTGATAGATAAATATGACACACAATTGATATAAAGTATTTTAATGCCTGTGCTGTGTAATGATAACGTTATCAAATGTGTCATAAAGAAATCCGACCCTCTTATAATTGCGCTTAAAATTCAACCTAATTCTTGGAATTATTTAATGACACTAGTTTATTATTCAAAAGTTACAAAAACTGTCACAAAAGTCAAGACCATGTCTCTATTAAATTAACAAAAAACTAGGCAAAACAAATTGTTTTAATGTTACGTCATATATTATATACATATATATATATAGACACACACACACACATATATATATATATGTGTGTGTGTGTGTCTATTATACGACATTAATAATTTTATACTGTTATAAATATACATTGTAATGCTCAACTACTGTCGCCGATAGCCATGGTAAGTTTTAGTATAATAAATATAAATTCGCATAAAGCATTAGTTTTACGTAGTTAGGACCATATACCTAGCTCCCCTAGCAAGCTAGGTATATGATCTTATCTACGTAAAAATGACACAAGAATATTAACAGCCAGTTAGTTGGTCACGTAAATGTAACTTAATTCAACAGACGCATTGTCGTGATAAAAGAGCCATTATTATTTATTCAGCGGGTAATTTTCTTTAGTCACGTATCTAAAATGTGAATCACAGAATATCGATTGGGGGCTACATTTACGAAATTATAATATTCTACTTACAATTGTCAAACTCGTCGATAAAAGCACTGTTAAAGTAAGATGCTTTGGAACTTCGATCTGCGCCGCCTTGTTCGTGTTGGGTTTATTCATGTTGGTGTTCATTTTTTTTTATAATATAAAGCACGTCATGACAAACTACAGCTCATACGTGAAGGGACTGAAGTAGTATGGACGCGTTAATCATACACGATAATTGTTATCGGTATTATTTTGCTCACTATCTACCAGGTACGCACTCGACTATTGTTTGTCGTCATTGCTGCTGAAAAAGCAGAAGCTTATGGCTTTCAAAAATATTCCTTCGTCCACCAATTGGTCACAACAAGCCTGATATATTAGTCACCATGTGTTGAGTCGATAAGACAAATGAAAGTCTCATATAAACCAAACTAAATACTACTCTATTTACTAATCAATAAAATATCAACGTGGTAGAGCCGCATCGATGATACGGTTCGTAATAGAGATACGAATTGTAAGGTACTTTACATTGGTAATTAATTGCACATATCTCAAGATGTCTATATATAACGCACACACGCACACACTCGACATAGCCCCGCACCAGGGAAACCCTGTGTCGCGGGTGCCATGGACACACAAATAGACAATTACAAATTACACCCAAACTCACGAGACAAATAAATGTAGGCCATACAAATATTTCTTCCGGCCCGGGAATCGAACCTGAGACCTCTGCATGGCAGTCCGGCATGGTAACCGTTCGGCCACAGAGGCAGTTAGTCTATAGTGACGAGTTTCCTTTGAATTAAAAAAAAATCCACGTCCTTGCCTATTTGTCAAATGAATATTGTAAATGGCATTCAGGGCAAACCCTCTGAAGTTGCGAAAAAAGAAATCAGCTATTCCATACAACACGGTCATCTCCACTGAACATAAATGTAAGTAACAGTTGATTTTTTTTTCCGCGATTTCGTGGGGATACGCATTAAAGTGTTTGTATTTTGTGGTGCACCTTAAAAGATCATCCTGTTTACTATTACTTTTAATATACATATGTTATGATATGATATGCTATGTACTTAAGGTGAGGTACAATAATTTTACAAAACAAAACACAAGTTTTACTAACTTCCTTACAAACTTTTTGTATGTTACAGTTTTAATGAAGGATTTACTATGTTGATGTTGTCTGGTCTTGATAATTTTCCGACATAGTTAAAAAAAAATTAAACTATAGTTTCATATAGACTCATTGGTGTATGTACCCGCTAGGTAATAAATTTCGAAAAAAAAATTAGGAAATAATGCACGGTAAGCGTTCAGCGAAAAATGCTACCACTGTGCTGTTCGTCGAAAATATTCTCTACTTTGTATGAACTTGAGTCACGCTGTTTTTCAATTAAGACCGTTTTTACAGATTACTACGCGGATATAGGTATAAAACATTGCTATTTACTTATCAACAGCACTTATCATAGCTATCATTTATAAAATTATCGTACAATACATATTACTTACATTACAAGTACATTTTTCACTTTTACAGGACTTAATTATTTCTTGACAGTTTACTTATTTACTTTAGTCATTTTAGTACTTAAACACTGTTGTCAATAATTCTTTAGATACTTCGTATTTAAACACGGTACTTTCCTTTGTACAGAGTGGCCAAATCCCTATTGTATACCATTTATTGCGTAATAATATTTCTTTTGTTATGTTTTACTAGTTGTATTTTACTTTTGAAATGTTAGAGATAAATTAGTTTTTTATTGTGTAAACTGTGTTTAATCTCCATAACTGATAGTATTAGTGGTTTTAGTATTTTTTTAGTATTAGCATGTATAATTATTGTATTTATATTGTTATTATTCTTTTCGAAGTCGGATTATGCTTAGGCCAGATTTAGTTTTGTAAAAATTAGGAAGAATATAAAAATTATAACTAGTCGGCAATGTCAAAGTTGAATACGTGGAATTACATCTGCTTGCCAAGTTTTATTGAAATATCCCCTAGTTCGCCACTATACAGGACTTGACACAGGAGACAATAAAAATCGGTTCTCACTACTCAAAGTATATTGAGAGAGAAAATCGCCTTGAATTGGAGAATAGCAAAACCAACCATTAAAATAATTGGTCCTTTAGTAAAATTTAGGCGATATTTATAAACAATGATGATGATGTTTATGCGCGATCAGCCACCCTTAGAGGTGGATGATTGTCTTCAAAAAGTAAAGGGGACTACTATGGAGGTACCCTCTTTCCTACAAAAAAAGAATCATGAAAATCGGTTCACAAATACCGGAGTTATCGCGTAACATACATACAAAAAAAACATATAGTCGAATTGAGAACCTCCTCCTTTTTTGAAGTTGGTTAATAAATACAATCCAAAAAACGCAAAAAAAAAAAAGTGGAGTTTTTTTTTGTTTATGGCTGGTCGCGGTCAGCATTGGAGCCAATGATAAGCATGGCCGAAGACTTAGAGCATATAGGACTGGAGGCGTCATCGATAGGCAATCCCCTCTGTCAAGGTACAAGCACAAAACAACTATCGCACAATAAACACTATTTTCAAATCGATGCTTTTTCATTTCCATTATCGAATTCACCGCGTCAAGTACTTCACGAAACATGTCGTCTTGCATATACAAACTATACAAACAAAATATATACAAACTTGCAAAAAAATCTCTGCTGCATCCAGTCTAGTCAAGGGTGGAATTACATTCCATACATAAGCCTATTTTTTATATTAATTGCTAATTTTCTATTTTATGGCATTTTCTATTCACAATGATCACATTGATTCAATTTATCGATTACGTAAAAAATATTTGAAAACATTCGAACATTCGACATAAGCATGCCTATCAAGTTCCCTATTTACTAACAGGCAACTATAGACACAAAAAAGCAGTACTTCATGAACGCTGTTTTTTCATGATAGAGAAGCGACGCGCTCTTTTAGCTCCTACTTTTATCTACAGATTATGTAACGAAGTGACATGTATACAAATATTAAAAAAACTGAAACAATTAATTTATACTGTAAAGTCATTGCAGTATTGCTTAATTTTGTTTGCCACAATTTAAAGGTCTGAAAATTATCCATATTCATTCAGAAATAACAATCTCACAGAATTTGAATTAGCTTCTAAGAAAGCTCATTTTTGCCATCGAAACAATACCACGAAACAGTAGCATTGCTGAAATTGGCCGCAAGTCCGCGTATTTACCAAATTAATGTGAAAGTTATAACACGACCTCTGCACGAAACCTACGACTAGGAGACTTAAGAGAACAAATTCATCAAGACGAAGTAATAAAGGAGAGAATAAATGGAGACAGTCGGGCAACGGTATGAATATACCACGAAAAGTCGGAGTCAGCTCAAAGGAACTCCGTTTTGTTGAGTATAGACACGCCTGCGTTTTGGTAGCGTTACATTTGATAAGATTGGCGTCGTCCCAATCGGAGACTGCCTGGAGTGTCAAATCAAAACGGCTAACCATGGACTCTCGACAAGACTGGATTTCCTCTCCACTGACCCTTGCATTGGTCAAGTACCTACCTATCTACAACTGTGCTGTCATCAGCATACGCAAAGGAATTAACATATGAATATATGCAGCAGAAAGAGAGTTGCAGACAGTACGGAACCCTGAGGAAGAGTAGCCTTCTAAGACCACTCGAATCGAACGTTCACTCAAGAAATCCGACGTCCAATTACAAAGGTCAGTAGGAAGCCCATAAGAGGTAAGCTTACTTAAAAGGCTTGTGTGCCACACCCTGTCAAAGGCTTTAGAAATGTTTAAAGACACTGCAAGTTCCTCGCCTTGCTTTTCTATAGCCTCGCTTCATATGTGACAGGCATACACAAGAAAATCCCCAGTAGATTGCCCTCGTGGGAATACGTACTGGTGATCACTAAGGAGGTCGTTGTCTTCAAGGTACGACTGGAGACGGCTGTTGAGTACACGTTCCATAGTCTTGCAGAGTATGGAAGTGACTGAGATAGGTCTATAGTTCACAGGGTCAGCTCTACTTCCCTTTTTCGGCACAGGTTGCACGTTTATAAGCTTCCACGACCTGGGAACTACACCAGTCTCAAGTGAGAAGCGGTACAGGCGTGTGAGGACACAACTCAGGCGCACAGTTGAGCAGGACCATTGCTGGAATTCCATCTGGCCCGCTAGCTTTATTTATGTCTAGATTTCGCAGAGTTCTAAGTACCTCTTTTTGACGTATGCGAACTGGCGAAATAGTGCAGCCAGGCTGAGGTAAAGTAGGTGGTAGGTTCCCTGCGGCATCCAAACGCGCACTATCTGTAAAGAGTGAGGCAATAAGATTCGCCTTCTCTTCCACAGTATGAGCCAGCGAGCCATCCGGCCTCAGTAGAGGTGGCAAAAATGAGCGACTAAAGTTAGATTCGCTTGCTTTGGCCAGGGACCAAAAGGATTTGCTGCCTGCTGGATAAAAGGAAAACTTCACCCCTATGCGGCGCACATGGTCGAACTTAGCCCTACGTAACACACTTTTGCACTTCTTAGCGGCCTTATTAAAAGCTTTCTTCAAATTCTGAGTACTCGGAGCTTTGCGTAGTCGAGCATCTGCCCAAGCTTGGTCGTGGACGGTTTACGTATATCAGCACAACTACAATCAGCGTAAAACCATGGACGAGCTTGGGATCCATTAGGTACATCAGAGTATGGTATGTAACACTCCATACACAAACGCAACACCTCGACTACAGCATCAGCACAGCGACGAGTCTCCTGAAATAAAGCACGCCTGCCAGGGGTATGACGCAAAGTCATGTAGGTCAGCTGTGTATTATAGTCTTAGACTACGGAAATTATTATTTCCATCCTCTAAGATGAGTGAGTGAGTAATCATAATTAAAAAAATAGGGTGGCGTGACTACAGAGCAAGTCACTACCTTTTAATTATATTTATGCAAGACATTTAACAAGGTTAACCTGCGGTGACTTTCAGAGAACTTATGAGACTGTTTTTTTTTTGTTATTCTCAATTGCACATATTTTCAAACTACAAAATTTAATAACATTTTAATCCCGAGAGCTTACCTTCTTTTTGACTTACTTATAAAAAGATTTCTATATAATTTGACTACGAACATGACGAACAGTAACAATTTATTGTTTATCTGATAATACTTTTTTGGTCTAAAAAGATGTTTGTCTTAGAACCTGTTTTGTTAAGTTATTATTATTATGACCTTGTATTGTCCCAGAGAAGGGCAAAAGCCTCCTTACTTTCTGTCACTTTTGCTATTTGGTCATTATAAAATGAAACCTTTAATAAAATGTTTCATTTCAATCCCGCGCACCTACTTACAGTATACTATTTTTTCTGTAATACTGCAAAACAGCGTTAGTGACTTTTTTCGGAATCTAAAAAAGTTACTTACGTTATTTTTCTACAAAGTGAATCGCAACGAAATAGGTACAGAGTTCAGTCGGTAAAATATAGTTCTATTGAACTATATTTTACCGTTCTATTGAACTATATTTTACCGACTGAAGATATTAAGTTTTTTATTTCTCCTGTAAAATTGTGAAAACGCTGTTACGCGGTATTTACAAAATGCTCTTTAGCGGTATTGCACGCACAGCAACGAGTTGCCTGTAGTACCTAAATAGGGAACTTCATAGGCATGCTAATGTCAAATGTTCGAATGTTTCCAAATATTTTTTAAGTACCTTATCGATAAATTGAATCAATGTGATAATTGTGAAACAAATGTCATAAAATACAAAATTAGCAATTAATGTGAAAAATATGCTTATGTATGGAATGTAATTCCACCCCTGGCTAAACTGGATGCAAGCCAAGCAAGACGACATGTTTCGTGGAGTACTTGACGCGGTGAATTCGATAATGAAATATAAAAACATCGATTTGAAAGTAATGTTTATTGTGCGATAGTTGTTTCGTAGTTGTACCTTGACAGAGCGGATTGCCTGTCGATGACGCCTCCAGTCGTTTAAGCTCTAAGGCTTAGAGAATGGAAAAAAGTCTATGCTCTACGGTGATGTTCATGAATTTGATTCCTATAGGAATTATATTTAATTATAATTATATTCCTATTCGCACTGGACCTTTTGGATTATTTTGTGAAATCTAGTTTAAAGTGGAATAGGATAGTGCTAATTGTGTCTTAATCGAAGATTAAAACGCGAAATTATACGAATTTCGAACTAAAATACCCGTATCGGCCCGTTTTAAGGAATCCCGAGTCAATCCAAACACGCCGCCTCAAATTGCCTATCCTCTTTGTGGCGGCCATATTTACAGAAACATAATTAAACTTCATGTTTAAGCTAATGGCTTTGCCAAAGCCTTAACAAATGAAAAAAAAATTGATTCCTATAATATGGGAACAAATTTTTTTCTATTCTAGATTTGATTTGGTTGTGGTTTTAAAATTCTTCCCGAAAAGGAAAAGGCAAAGATTTAAAACTATATAACCAAATAAAGAGCTTAGAGATGCAACAAGAAAATCACACACGCATTTTTGTATCATTATTACCCGAAATCTCAAAGGACTGCGCCACTGGCCGAGTTTCATTGTCTTTCAATTATGTCAAGAACATGTCAAAAGTTTATCACAATAACAAGACGAAGCACCAAATGCTCCAGAAATAATACTGAGAATTTATTTGCTACTATCATAATGCGTCTTCACAATGACATCGTCTATGTCTATTTCGTAAAATAGGTACATGTTCCTCAACACTATATAGAAAATATGGAAATATCGTGAGCTCATGATTACAGGACAACAAATTAAAACCGAAGCAAATAGTCAATATGATTACGTCGCTATTTCCAATTACAGGAGAGAATGCCATGTACTTTTTGGTCGTATACCGGGCGATTTGTGTTTTATTTGCAAATTACTCGGCTTCTGAAGCAATTACACCAAAGAAGATCTTCTTATATCTACGCTTGGTGCTGGAGGTCCTAATGACTATAACGTCCACGTTTCTGCAGTTGGTGCCACTGAAACGGTACCCACGACTCAGCCTTGTCAACAGAATTTTGAGCATTCCCTCACAGCTGTACACTCTTTATGTGGCTAATGCCTATATTGCTCCTGCTCTGAAATTCACTTGGCTTACCGTGACTATGGTCTTAGTTACAATTATGTCTGTTGCGTTCACTGCTTTCGGCATTTGGAGCGACGTGCAAAAAATTGAAGAAGAATGAAACCTTTTATTATTATCGAAAAAATAAAACAAATTTAATGTGTTTACTTATATAAGTATTCTTTACTGAATTAAAGACGGTTCCATTTGTGTAGAAGATATGAAGAATATAAGTAACTTATCGTAATCTCACTTGTGCGTGAGATTCGTAAGCGTACGACATACAATTCATTTTCTACGAAATTTAACATACACGATACTTATAATATTGAATTTATAAGCACCTTGTTTATAATTGCGCTTTAACAGGTTAGCTACTATTTACTTATGAAACATACAAATTATCCATACACCTAATAAATGCCTAAATCCAACTTATAAAATGTAAAAAATTAATCAATATTTACAAATTAAGTAATTTGCCTGTCCTATAGTAGGACAGACTTTAAGTGTTAAGTTAATCAATCTTCCTTTGTAACAACATAACTCTTAATTTAAAGCAGTAACAATATGGATTAACTTAGCGCTCTTAATTTACAGTTAGTCACAAGGTAGTAAGTAACTACGCTTTCCTGTTTGTCTATTAACCAAAGCAGGTAATGCCGAATGAGCCACACACCAAATAAAATTGTTATTACAAACATTAATATCACCTTTAACCGGTTAGGACATGAATAAAAAAACGGTGTTGTCTGTTTTAAAAAACGACATACACGATGTTGCAAACATCCATTATATCCATTTAATTATTTCGTAATTATTCATTTATTATTCTGAATGTTGTTCCATGTCCTATTCCTATTACGCATGCTGGCCGCTAATAATGTACATCCCAAATTTAAAATTTAAAATTCTTTCCAATTTTGTCAACCAAACATCAACAAAACGCGGGTTTTTTTTGTTTAATAGCGTCTGTTGAGAAAAATAACTTACTTTCCAACGATATCTATATACTAGCGTTTAGTTTAATTACTTTATTGATTAATATACTGTACTGCACAAGCAGTGTTCACTTAAATATTGTTCACTACGATATGGACAACACCAGTACCTAGTAAAGTCATCAATCTTCAGATCCGTTTGCTAACTCTCACTTCTTGTAGGTGATTTTTAAAGTCTTTGTAAGATTTTTGTCGATTTCTTAGGGCTTGAATGAAAAGGAATCTATCATTCCTATGTTCTGTACTTCTTTTTCTTCCAGAACCAGGCCTTCTACTGAAAGAATCAGTCTCTTGGAACCTCTTCCAAATCTTTTGAAATCAAGTAACTTTTGAAGAAACCTTCATCGAGAAAAATGACGGCTTTACTAGGTACTATAGTGTTGTCCATATCGTAATGAAACTTATTTAAGTGAACACTACTTGTGCAGTACCTCTATTAATCAATAAAATAGTGAAATTAAGGAATATTTATACACAACTGACGACAACTTGACGATAAAAAAACAAATTAATCCCGCGCTTTGTTGAAGGTCGACAGACGAAGAACTATTATCATAAAATTAAAAAATTTTAATTTGGAATGTTCATTATTGCATGGCATACATGCATGCGTAATAGAACATGGAACACTCACAACAAAAAATTAGTAATTATGATAATTTAATTGATATTAGAATATATCTTAAGTGCTCGTTTTTTTGCAACATAGTCTATGAAGTGTATGTACAACATTCGTTGTTCTAGCTCGAACGGTTAAGCTATGAGTTGATCTGTAGATGATTTTTTTGAGTACCATTGCCATTGGTTTGTTATTTTTGAAGGTGTTAGTGATATATCACCAAGTCCTACGAAGTCAATATAGCACATCAGTTTCAGTTAAAGGCGCTGAAAAAAAGTTAAGTAAGTTATCTTAATCTATGAGCAGATGATTATGTAATAAATTAGCGAATAATAACAATATATCAATTTGCATACATTTATACTTACGACGTGATGTCTGCGTTTTGTAGTCCCGAATGTGCGTTAGAGAACTTAAGCTGGAATTGGCTCGGTGGACCGCTGAAAAAAGCAACACTGAGTGTAATATTATGACATGTTAAGGTTACAATGGTTCCACGTGGAACTGAGTACATGGAACTACCGGGAATAAACGGAGTATTTAAGTAAGCACGTTCATTCAAGTAACACCCAAACAAATTACACCCAAACTCTCGAGAGAAATAAATGTAGGCCATATAAATATTTCTCCGGGCCCGGGAATTGAACTTGGACCTCTGCGTGGCAGTCCGGCATGGTAACCGTTCGGCCACGGAGCCAGTTAAAGTAACAACATCTTTTCTTAAGTAAGTAAGTGCGTGCTATGATTAGGTGTAGGCATCGTAGTTAGGATATACTTACAAGCTTTTCTAACGGAAGAGAGGGCCGTATAGTCCGGTAACGGAACAGGCGGTAGGTCTTCGTCGGGGGGGAGTTGGTCACGCATTCTGTGAGCAGAGGCGGGGATGTACGCCCAAGGTAGCTGGCCCTGAAGCTCGGCCGCCGTGTCTCGTCGTCTGCGCTACCATATCTACATTATCATCCATTCTATACTATATAACTATTCTGATAACTCGCTTGCTACGTAATCAACACACTAATGGATTGCAGCTTAGATTATAATTTTATCTTGAATAATAGCGGCTTAGGAGCTCGGGAAACAATTTTGAGAGTTGCGTAACTGCTTCCGTAATCGTTCGTAGCTGCAAAATTAACTAAAAATATCCGTAGCGGATCTAAATACTATTTATACTTTATACTCCCTCATTCTCAAATATGTTGCCGGCGGACCATGGAGGCAAACAGTAAAAGATCGGCTGAAATGGAAATCTCTGGGAGAGACCTATGTCTTAGGACAAGCTGAAGGTACCGAGTCAACAAATTTGAGTAATAATAAGTAAGTAATATATAATAAGTAAAAATAGGCGCCTTGACGTCGAGTTGCGGACACCAGCCCGTTACACCAAGTATATAATAAGTACGCATGTCATACAACGTATTAGATAAGTTAGTATATAAGTTATCTACAATAAAGGCTATAAATACTCCCTCATTCTGGTACCCATTAACCAAACTGTTATATTCTGATCAACTGCACAGGACTATAAATATATAATAAAAAAGCTATATGAAAACGCTGTTAAGAGTTGCAATGACCGCTTTTGATGATCCAAAAGTATTATAGTAGAGGTTATATCACAACACAATAGTACTTACTTATATGCCTGCGAAAATGACGGAGTGTGGCACATTTGAATACTTTAACTGCGTTAGGAACTATAATAATCAATTTAAGCGCTTGGATATCCCTTATTCGGACATTACCATATGTTCAAGAGAACAGTTTAATTGTACTGCAAAAAGTAGTGTTTATGCGATATATTTGTTACTAGCTGGTGCCCGCGATTTCGTCTGCGAAGAATAAGTACTACGAGTAGCCTACTGTACTATTTACTTGAGAAATTATTGGTTCTCCATACAAACTTTCATCTCCTATTTTACCCCATTTAAGATTTATTTTTGTAGCAAAAAGTAGTAGTGCAGTGGTGAAGTTACATGCTCATGGGACAGCATTACAGGGTTATGGATATACAGGGGTATGTGGCGTATAACTTACCATCAGGCGCACGACTTGTTCGTCGCGTCACTTTTCATAATACAAAAAGCTTATGCCCTACTTCTAGGTGCCATCTATCTCCATATCAAAATTCATTAAATTTGGGTCTGCGCTTTAGGTTTGATAACGTAACAGACCGAGTTACTTTCGCGTTTATGATATTAGTTTGGATAAATCAACTTTATTTTTTATCATAATAATACAAACGGCCATTTGCTTATGGTAAATTGTCTGTCAATACCTAATAAACCGTAACAAATAATTTTGTTTAAAAATTCTGTCAATAAGAAATTATGATGATTCTTTAAACATTTTGATATTAACTTGAAAGCGCATTCAAATAACTCTAAAAACATACATATATACAAGCAGTGAATTTGTAACAATTTTTACCCACTTGTATACAAGTCGTAAGTAATAACATAGTCGTAAGGCATTCATTGTTACTTAGCGATGATATTTTAATGGTGGCCGATTGAAATAATACTTTGTCTTGTTATATTTCACTAACTCAAGTACAAAAAACTTAAGGGCGCCTTCGAATCAAACGCTTATATGTAGAAGTGCGTCAGTAGCGCCTCTGTGGCGCTACAGTCGCACCTCAACTAATTTTCATATAATATTTAGAAGCGCAATTGTAGCGCTACAGACGCATCACGCGCGCTACTTTTGCAGACTAGATATTGTATGAAAATTAGTCAAGTCAATTCAGTACCAGCTATAATTTGAAAGCGCCCTAAGTTCCTTAGTCGTTCGTAGATTAAAAAACTTATTAAGTTGTTCACTTCAAAAGTAGTCACTTGATGCAGTTCTTAAGTTCACCTTTATGTAGTAAAAATAATAACGAAGAATAATAGTACCTATTGTGTAGTAAAAAGTTAAGAGATGTATAAAATTGTGCCCAATTGGCTTTACTAGCACCTTATGAAATAATTACAATATCTATAAAGCTCTTGAGCAGTAAATTTGTGTTGTTCGACTTTGCGTATCTACATATACGCAAGCAACAGGCAAAGTTTGATAAACCCATTTAAAATTTGTATTATTGCCATGAAATATAAGTGCACTATTCTATTGACCATTACTTAGTGTTCCTTAAAACTGAGTTAGCTACTGTATTATAAAAGTTCTAAATATTATTGTTACCCGCGAATGTCATTTGAGGAAGAAGGAAGATGTGGTGCGGACTGAGAGGCGCGCGTCGGGCTGTGACGCCCGGTTGTATCAACCACGGCATGGTCCAGTCGTCGCTGCTGTTCAGCTATCATGTTTTCCAGCCGCTGCGGCAGTGACAGCAGGTTTGTAGGAAAATTCACTGTGCGTTTCTTATCTATATCCGCATTATGTGGCGGAGGATGAGGAGACCTGGTCAAAACGTTTTTAAGTTACGTTACCCAAATCCAAATTACCTTTTATCAAAGCAAGTTCTTCTTACCTCTCCGGCGAAACCTCGGAAGAGTTGCCCGCAAATTCAATTTGAGTAGCCCGAGGGACAGGCAACGTCGGCCCCTTGCCGAATAGCCTCGCTTTCATTCTTCTAAAAGACTGACTCAGACCAGGCCTTGGTATTTTGGGGACTGGTTCGCTTTGTACACTGGTTTCATCATCATCCTGTACACTGACAGCTTGATTAACCATCGTTGGTGCTTCGACTTGCTGTAATAAAATGAAATGGTATTACGTGTCTACCTACAAGTAGGTACAATATGTACAAAAACAAAATTGTATAATATACTCACAATTGATATATCTTCTGCTCGTTTACCACTGACGTGTAAAACTACGGAGACAACCAGGAACAAATTCAGAATGAACAGAATGCCAAATCTCGAATAGAGGAGCACCATTACCCAAGCGGCCCATGAAGTATTGATCTCTACATTACCTATGCCACTCACGGAAGCACCAATAAAGGCAATAGATTCTGCTAGAGTCTGAAATTTATTGGATTGTTACTAACAGGAAACAGTAATGATTGTAAACATAGGCGGGTAACACACGGGCGTAGTGCTCGGCCACGGTAAGCGCAGCGTCATAAAAGCGGAGCTAATAAGCGTAGAGACACGACTCGCCCATTTATTATCACCATAGTTTACAACGTACCCTTGTGTGAAAAGAGTCATTTGCGTAAATAGATGTGGCAGTTATATCCAACGCACAAATAAGTATAGTTATTATTATCCATGGCCATCGTATGGGTTTTGTTGTTTTGTCCTTTGCTCCACCTCCTATAATATTGAAAATTTTAACATATAATTAATTATTTATATGCAAAGTTATAAAAACTCTAAAAGTAAATAAAATAAAAATAAAAGTGGGAGAAATAAAACCTTGTAATATTAAGTAATTAATAAACATAGCTCAGAACACGAACATGAATATAAATAGAACACACCTGCTTAAGAATATAACAATCGACGTCGAATGACCGGATTAGTTTTTCTTCTACGCGACGTGCTCCAGGACTACCAAAATTAAGCTTGGTTAAGAGATCACATTGATGTCTTTTGTATGGGAGATACGAAAAAGTAGTATAATAATTATGCAATATTGAGGTCTTTTAATTTTTATGACAATGCCTAAATTTTTGGTGACGTAATTGTACCGCGGAACCTGACGGATGTGTTGTAAATCGAAAAAAAAAGTTTGTAGTTCTCACTCATGAGTCCAATACAGGTGATGAACCAGATAGCGCTCAAACCGAGGCTGACACAGTTAACGAGAAAAGTCCTTTGTGCCGTGAACGGTACCTCGTTGAGTATCACCATTGCTTGGCTCGGCAAACCTTCTATGTTTTGACCAATAGTTATTCTATTACCACATGGTACGGGATCTGAAATTAATTAAGTTTTAAATACACTGGAATACACGTTCAAATCTCATGAATAAGATCATTTTTGTCTGATTTACGATTATTAAGAACTAATTAAAGAACGGTTATTACAAGTACTGCATTTTCAGGATTTTCGAATTGTTTGATGATTTTTTTTGTTGTAGAAGTTCATACTTACTGTGGAAATATAAAATTCTTATAAATAAGAGCAAGGGCACTTCTTTTAGAAAGTCAATAACACAGAAGTATTGCAATAATCCAATTGAGGTGAATATTATCTGACCCAAAGCTTGAAACTGAAAAAAAAAGTACTTAGTGTGCACAAAGGTAAATACATCACTATGACATGGGAAATGTCGTAATTTTTTACGCTATTTAAATATTCGTTAGTGCCTATGTGTCTATAAATAAAGATTTTACTGCAACCATTTCATCAATTTAAATACTGCACCAAATTTTGAAAATGAGATTCACGTCGCATCAAATAAAGTAACATACTTGATAGTGCTTAAAAAAGGTCGCGAAGTGATCTCTCGCGACCGAATGCGCTCAGCGAATGCTCCCGGCGACTGAGAAAATATAGGTGAAACCAATGACCTTGTATACATTCAAGCAGAGAAATTGACAGTCCTTACTAAAAAATACCAGTTTTGAATTTTGTTTTTTTTTATTTATCTACAAAATTAAACGATTTGAATTGTCATTGGTCAAAAAAGTGGAATTTAACGAGAGCATAGTTTCGTCCAATGGTTTTTTTTGACTCGTTGCGGCCTAAATCAGAAAGAAAGTTTCGATAGACTAAAATTAGCATTTAGTTATGAAGCTCCATGTATTGCCACTTTTTATTTATTTTATGGTTCAGAAAGATTAAACGAAGAGGTTTGCAAAGGGCGACAGCGACTACACAGGAAAACATCAAGGCTGTGAGGCTTATGACTGAAACATCAGCAGATACGAACTTTGTTAGCTAATTTATATACTCGATGGCTAAAGGCATGAATCAATTTCAAGCAATTTTGCACAAGACCTGCCAGTGAGGAAGCTTTGGATTCCTCACAATTTGAATAAACATCTAAAACACTGCCGCGTGGAATGGGGTTGCCACAAATGCTATGAAGTGGTGCATGAAACGTCAAACACAGATTTTGACATAGTGACAGTTAATGAAAGCTAGAATTCCTTCTTCTTTTTTTATTTTTCTATCCTCTAAGAATTCCTTAGAGGATGGAAAAAAATAAGAGTGATTACTTACACACAGCGACTTTTAACGCGCGTTCGTGAAACGCGCGATTGCATCGCTACACTTGCGATTTATAGGCGATTGCATCGATGCAAGTACGCGATTGCATCGATGCAATTGCTTATAAGGCCAAATGTAACGATGCAATCGCGTGTTTGTATCGATGCTGTCGCGCGCTTGTATCGCGTATGCATCTGTCATCATCATCTGAGTGTGTAAAGGTTGACGATTAGCGACTGCATCGCGTTTAAATCGCTGCTAAAAGTCGCCACGTGAACCGCTCATAATTGGAATTCTTTTAAAACTGACACTCGCCGATGCCATAAAGAAAATAATTACCTGAGGAACCTGCGTTGCGAAATCATAAAATGTAAAAAAGGGACGGAGTGCCGGAAAAAAGATTAGGCTTATTTTTCGGTACACACTACCCTCGTATATTATTGAAAAATTACAAAACAGTTATTGCAGATTGGTATATGAACAGCTTTTACCTTTTGCCTTACAAAATGTTAAAGAACGATGTCCGCGAAGCAGACTGATCCTGCACCATGGTAATGCTCCAGCTCACTCCACTAAACAAATTAACCAGTTTTCGTAGTACCGTACCTAAATCTCGAATTATTGTGTCATCCGCTATACAGTCCCAACCTTGCATCTTGTGATTTTTATTTATTTCCTAAAATTAAGAATAAACTGAGAGGAATCCGTCACACTAACGCATAAGAGGCATTAGCAGCCTGCCAACTAGCCGTGTCAGGGGTCGTAGCAGTAGAGCTCCTTGTGAAAGAGTTCGTCCAGGGAAGTACTGCCATCTTACCTATTTCTGCCGCCAAGCAGTAATGTCAGCATTACTGTGTTCCGGTTTTGTAGAGAAGGGGTCCTGGTGAAATTGCATCCACGTGGGACTTGTCAACTTATGTTCCAGGGTGACGGGCATAGTGGCAGTGCCCCTCAGATCTTTTGCGATTTAAAGCTCTGAGTGACACTGCAACTTTTATGGACAGGCGTGCAGCTTAGCATCAGGCGCACGACTTGTTCGTCCCGTCATTTGATATATTAAGAAAAAGGTACCTAGAGAAGGGTGGGCAAACTGCTTCACATAATGATTTTATCACATGAAAATCTGCGTTGACTTGAACTATTATAAAATCGAACATGTTAAGGTATGAAGCATTGACTTACAAATAAATGGACGACGGGTCTAAAACAAAAACCACGAAAAAAATGTCCCAAGTCAACCTATTCGAAATGTAAATTGTAATGTCATCGCAGTATCGCGCTGTCAGTAGAACAAATGAAGACTAAAGCGGAGTGTCGCGCTCTGTATACGATTTTAGCGCCTTACAAGTGCGGACACTTTTTAGCGCGGACCCGACGTCCATATAATTGTAAGTCAATGGTATGAAGCCTTTATTGTGTTTTGTGCCTACCATAGAGATCGTTTCCATAGTAACCTTCTAACTTGTGTTGTCACTGAATATAAAACATACATTGCTTTAACTGCGCTGAGTTTATTCTATTATAAAGTGCGCGCGGAACTATCTGGCCGCGCCTTAGGTAGGGACAGGGGTGAGGGGGCGGGTTGCTTGCTGCTCGCAACGCACATGAGATTAGACAGTGACGACCAATCTCGAGATATCGTGAACAATAATTGTTCAGTTATTGAAAAGAAAAAATTAAAGCCAATTGAACTTTTACAAGTTTATATTATACCTATCTAATTAATTGCAATGTACAATGTACAGTACAGGCCGCCACAAACTGTCAGATTTCCTCAATTGATTTTCAACTTAAAGTCCAGGGAATAGAGTATAAAATTGATTGGATAAATTTGACATTTATGTATTGATGGACTTGCTGTTGTCCGTACATTGCAATTAAAAGTAAAATAAACCAAAAACAAATTAAATGAAATTCTTCCGACATATTTGAATCATTTATGAAATTATTATTAATTAATTAGTGTAACTAACACGACTTTGTATTTATAGATATGAAATTACTCTGACATATTATCCTCTGAATCACTTGATTCTGAATTGTCTGAACTTGAGTCAGAATCATCTTGTAAGTTTATAATGAATTCGTCCATCACAGTATCATATCTCATATCATGATTCCAGTATTCTTGTTCGTTTTTTTGTACGTAGTCGTCGCATTTTTGCCATTGTTCGGCAGAAAATTCAGAAAATAGTCTTGTTAGTATTGTAATTTTCTCGTCCAATGTAGCATTAATGTGATCTCTGGCCAGGCAATTTTTTATATTTGCCCACACAAGCTCGATTGGGTTGAGATCTGGATGATATGGAGGTAGTCTTAGAACAGTATGACCTGCACCTTTCAGAAGTTCATCAATCGTGTATATTTTTTCTGATTGGGTCGTATTAATCAAGCCCAAGAGTTCAGCTTTGACCATCGTGGGAGAAAAGGGCACGTTATGATTTTGCAACCAATTCTGCATATTAATTTTCATACAGGACATAGTCGGTTTCTTCTCAACTTGCACACAGTGGTAAGCTGCATTGTCCATAACTATGACTGAGTTAGGTGGAAGTTTAGGTATTAACTTTCGATCAACCCAGTTGTAAAAATTTGTAGAGTTCATGTCTCCATGATAGTCTCCTGTTTTTGAATCTGATTTAAAAATTAGCAGAGCATCGTCAACTAACCCGTTCCGACTACCAGCGTGAACTATTATTAAACGCCTTCCTTTGCCTATATCTGCATAAACACCAGGCTCCGACGAAGATTGCCAACATTTTTGGACATTATGACTTTGGTTAACGTAAGTTTCGTCCAAAAAGAATATATTTCGTTTGTCTTCTCTGAATTTTCTTATGGCCCTCAAATATTTCACTCGCCATTCAACAATGTTTGGTCTCTCTAATAAAAGGGATCTCTTCGATTTACATTTTTTAAATGAATATCCCAGTTTGTGCAAAAGTTAATTGTTTAATTTTGCTTCCCCTGTATTTTGCAAGGATGTTTTACTTTGAGCAATCACTCTCCTTACACTTCGTTCTGATATCCCGGTTGCTTCTGCCACTAATTTATGAATATTCGCATCAGTTTTATATTCTAAACTATTGACATCGGCTTTCCGTTTTTTAAAAAACGTATGCACTTTAAATATTATTTCCTTAGATTGTCTTTTTATCGGCGGACTCATCTTGACATTGCAATCTCTTGTGCGTTTTGTCTAAACTAGCCAGAACTGTCAACGTGTGTTGCCGCCGCGAAGTCCGGCGCCGAACTGAGTATTCTGAGTAATGACATCAAGTGCCCCCGCCTCCCCGTCCCACCGCTCACATACCTAAGGCGCGGCCAGCTAGTTCCGCGCGCACTTATACCTCTTATTCGATCCTATATATCTAATTTATAAATCTTTAACATGGTGGCAGAGCGTAAGGAAAGAAGTTTTATCCTGGGAAAGAATTTTTTCCGTTTCCGTTCTTTTACGAAAAGAAAAATTCATATGGTGAAATCTGTACCAGGTGTCAACCGCTATGGATAAGGCGATTGCAGATAGGACACTTAAGATTCAAGAAACTTCAAATCATAGAATTATAGAATAATGGTTGTTATTAATGCCATCCCTGGAGCCTTAGATATCATCGAAGATAGGCGATGTAAGCCGCAAACACCAGCTGCAGAGGCATCAGAGGCTGTGAAAGCTAAGTATGAAAAAGAATTACAGGAATTCATGAACATTGACAGTGCCGCCTTAGTTGTCATGACGACAAATATGACAGATGAAATTTTAAATCTTGTCAAGCGTTTGACAAGTTCACAAGAAGTATGGGAAGAGTTAACTAGGCTATATAGAGAAAATAGTGAAAATAAAAGCTATGATCTATGTCTACAATTCTTCAGTTATAAGAAAGAGACAGCAAATGACATAGCGAATCCTTATTCTGCTTTAAAGAATATCTGGCATGAATTGAACTGTCAGTTAGATTCAAAAGTACCGGACATGCTACTGATCTGCAAGATTTTGGACACTTTACCGGAAGAATTTTTCGCTTTTAAATCAAGCTGGCTACTTATGACTAAGAA